TGTAATATCTCAATACAAAAACAAACGCAAATATTTAATTTTAAACAGTCAAGTCCTTTCAAGTCATCTGTCTCAAGCTTAAGTCAAGTCTCAAGTCATGAATACCAAGTCAAAGTCAAGTCAAGTCTTTTATCAATGTTAGTCAAGCAAGTCTCAAGTCCAAAAATATGCGACTCGAGTCCGACTCGAGTCAAGTCATGTGACTCGAGTCCCCACCTCTGACAAATACTGTAGATTATGATTGTTTAAAATGCACTTTTACCATAAAACGCCAGCACGACCAGTTGGTTGAGGCTCATAAAAACAAAACTGTGTAGTCAGTAAAAAAAAAGTAGTTTGTGGTAGTTTGTGTCCCATTTGATAAAAAAATGCAAACAAATAATTTTTCCATAGATTTTTTCTTGGTCTGGCAATTAAAGGGTTAAGCCTATATGTTTAAGCAATTATGTCTGCCTTCCCCGTCTTGCACCATTAGGACCCACTGATATAAAATGCTTAAAAACGTGGATGACCTTAAACTTTTTTATGTTAAACACGGCCAAAACTGAAGTTATTGTACTCGGCCCAAAGAATCTACGAAACAAATTATCTAAAGATATACTAACTATGGATGGCATTCATTTGACCTCCAGTGAGACTGTAAGGAATCTTGGTGTTATATTTGATCAGGATTTATCTTTTAACGCCCACATAAAATCAATTTCAAGGACCGCCTACTTCCATCTACGTAACATTGCAAAAATCAGGCATATCTTGCCTCAAAACGATGCAGAGAAACTAGTCCATGCATTTGTTACTTCAAGGCTGGATTATTGTAACTCTTTATTATCAGGGCGTACCAAGAAGTCAGTTAAGTCGCTTCAGCTGATTCAAAATGCTGCAGCACGTGTACTAACCAGAGTTTGGAAAAGGGACCACATTACTCCTGTTCTGGCTGCCTTACACTGGCTCCCTATAGAACACAGGATAGAATTTTAAATTCTTCTTCTCGCCTACAAAGCCCTTAACCCTTTGGAGTCGACCGTCACGCCAGCGTGATCAGATCACATGACCTGTTCAAGCTGGTGCCGCATAAAAACAACAGTCCGGACAACATTGCCGTGTGTTTCTGTCGAAAGTACTGGCTTGAAACTATATGCCAGTCTTTGTTTCATGCAAAAACACCCAGTAAACACGGAGATACGATGATATAAAGTTAATACAAATATATTTCAAAAGTATGAAAAATGGAAGCACATATTTTAATATCTTCGCCGTATTTTATCATTTTACGAAACGGAAAATACTGGAAACTGTAGATCCTGCTCAACAGGATGTATTTACCAGGGAGGGGGTGAGGTAATCAGGTAAACGGAGTGATACGTAACGAGACGAAAAGAGACGAAGAGGGACGGCGGGAACCGAAAAGAGACGGCAGGAAATGGAGAGACGAAGATATACAAAGACGGGCGGCGAGAGACGGCGATAGAAGTAAAGTGACAGACAAACATTGTGTCACAAGTTAGACACTTATATTGTTGTTGTTTTGGTTTGGCACACCTTTAACTCTCCTGTCATTTCAGATCCCGCCTTCCTCCAGGCTCTTGCAATCAGCTCACTTCCCTCACCTGGTCTCCCCAGCCCTTCCCCTCACCTGTTACTCATTCCCTCATTACTCCACAGTATTTATATCACCTCACTCTCACCTGCCCTTTGCCAGATTGTCTTGTCAGTTCTGCCAAGCTCTCCAGTGGTTGCTATTCACTAGCCTATATTCCTGTCCTGCCCGGTTTTGACTCCCAACTGCCTGTATTCGGACCTCGAGTTCTCTGCCTGCCCCCTGCTCGGATTGTTTGCCTTTCTGCTGGATTTCCTGGTTCTGACCCTGCCTGTCCCTGACCTGAATAAACGGAACATTTCTGAGACACTGCCTGTATCTGTGTCGTGCTATTGGGTTCTGATCTGTATCTGTGAGCGTGACACATTGAGAATTTAGATATAGTTAGATAGATTTAGAGTTTTGAAGATTCAACTATGATGAAGAGAACTCTGAACGTGAGTCAAGCTATAAGCTTGTTTTTTGACATGGAGGAGGAGTAGCCTGTGATGTTGCCCTCTGTTGACAGAAACTGCTTTGAAGCGTGGCACAGATAAAGACCGAAAAAACTGATTTGAAAGGACAGCTAAATGCACAGCAGTCCATTTTCACCAGGCCCAACAACAAGAGCAAGGCTGCTACCATAGCATCTTATCGTGTCAGTCACGTTTTGCGAAACACATGAAGTCTTTCAAAGACGGCGAAGTTGTGAAAGAAGCATTCCTGGAGGCTGCCGACGCGCTTTTTGTGGACAGTAAAAATAACAGTAGCATTTCAACAGGTTTTTGATATAATAAAAACTCAAGTTAGATACCGTTATTAATCAGCTTTAAGTTTTAGTTTGTTTGAACTTATTCAATCAATCAATCAATGTTTATTTATATAGCCCAATATCACAAATGTTACATTTGTCTCAGTGGACTTCACAGTTTATTATGCTTATTCATTATAATTATTGTACAAAATGGTATAAGAATGCAAACATTAAGATCTGTTCTGTTTAAATTGATTATAGTCTATTATCAATTCAGGTTAAGAAACTAGTGTTGCTTGCATCCTATTTTAAAGGCATTTCTTTTTATACTCTACTAAAATGCAACAAAAAAAGGGTTTGATTTTATTAATTTTGTCTTTTTTATTGCACGTTGGCAGCAGATTCCTGTGTAGCTTCAGATCTGAGTTGTCTTATTAGTAAGCCTAATTTATACTTTTGTAGCAACACTATTTTTATATAATGGCAAAGAAAGGGTTCAGAGTCTTTTCTTTTTTTCCTGTGTCATATGTGGCAGCACTGTTCAATGTTTCTTGAAAACATTACCCACTGTAGTATGTGACGTGTGAATAAACTCCAACTCTGTATCAACAACACTGTTGTGTAACTTCAGTTAAATACTTGTATGTGTGTAGATTAGAAAGAGGTAAGATAAAGGATCTGCAGTATTTTATGAAGTATTCATCGTACAAAGGTCAGTTTTATACAAGTAGAAGTGTGTATTTACCTGGTAGTAGGCTGTCAGTAATGGCTACGCCTCTCTATTTGGACTGGTAGATCTCGGCAGACTGGCAACTTTAAAAGTAGCTCTCGGTTCAATAAAGGTTGGGCACCCCTGTACTAGGGCATTGCGTTCCAAGAATGCAGGGTTGTTGGTTGTTCCTAGAGTCTCTAAAAGTACAATGGAAGCCAGAGCCTTTTCTTATCAAGCTCCACATTTGTGGAATCGGCTTCCAGTTTGTGTTCGGGCGGCAGACACCCTATCCGTTTTTAAGAGTGCGCTTAAAGGAGAGGTGTCATGGCCATTTCTACTGATCATAATTCCATTGTTGAGGTATACTAAAATAGATTTATACTGTGCATTTTTCCAAACTCACATTGGTTTCTCATACAGCATCTCTGTAAACTACTTGTATTCACTGAATTTCACTCTCTGCCTTTAACAGCTCGTTGTAGCTCCAAAAGCTCCAGCCCCCACCTTCCCTGTGAGCACAGTGTGCTCTGATTGGTCGGGACGTTGTGAATCGCGCTGAGCTCCGTGGAGGTGTTGTTTCCTTGTTTAGCATACATAGCGAAACACAGCCAAACTCATCCTGAGCACACACAAACTCACAGTCGAAGTAAAAACAATAAGTGTGGCTTGATATTGAGTAAGAAAAAGGTTGATAAACTCTGTGAGAATGGGTCTGCAGAGAGAAATTTGCCACGATCCCAACTGTCTGTTATCAGCCTGCAGCCAGGGAGGAGAAATCAGCAGAGCTGCCTGTGTCCGTGGATTGGTCAATTTGGACCAATCAGCGGGGGCTTAACGTAACGGCTCCACGGATTGGTCCATGCCGTACCCGGAAGAATCAAATGGACAATGACGTATCTCCAACGAGGCGTTTTGGGGAGGTATTTTCTGTGTTAGAGTTTTACTCGCTACAGGGTGTACTTTGAGGGTTTTGACTCTGCACACCGTTTACATGCATAAAAACCTTCATAACACATAAGGGGACGGGTAATAACCGGAAAAGCATGACACCTCTCCTTTAAGACCTTCCTTTTTGACAAAGCTTATAGTTAAGGCTGATTAGATTCAGCCCCTAGTTTTGCTGCTTTAGGCTTAGTTTGTCGGGGGACACCTTACTTCTTCCTTCTCTCTGTCTGTACCTGTGTACAGGGGCGGCCAGTCCATGTAAACATTTATAAATAAAACACATACTTTTAAAAGACTTAAAATTGTCAAAACTCAAGAAATTGTGTTTTTCTAGGATGGTACAGTGGTGGTATGAATATGGCTTTCTGTCAAACACCTTGATGGCTCTCTTGTACAGCTGTTCTTTGGGTTTCAGGTTTGTGGCACAAGCAAACGACCAGTTTGTAAAACAGTATTCAATGTGGGATAGAATCATACAGTGGAGGTATGACTTTGCAGCATTGACAGTTAAGAAAGGTCACATTTGTTTAAAATGTTGTAAGTTGAATTTAACGGTATTGGATACTTTCTTAATATGTTTCTTAAAAGTCAAGTTCGAGTCCAGTATGACTCCAAGATACTTGAAGTGGGGGACTAGTTCTAATTCTGCTCCGTTTAAAAACACATTGGATCCTTCGATTTTGACTTGTCGTTTACTACACTTTCTAGGTAATCATACATCCTGTCATGTACACAGCTAAAGTTGGGATACCGTGTTGGGATACCTTTGTTATCATGTTGTGGGGATTGTCCACAGTATTGAGTATGTAAGTCGCTTTGGATAAAAGCATCTAAAAGTGACATGTAATGTAATGTTACTCTGATATTGGAAGAGTACATTGAATATTTTCCCAACATAAATAAAAAAACGATGTGTGTGTGTCTAAAATGTGCAGGCTTTGCAAAAATAATAGTCGTTCACAGATGGCTCCCGAACACATGTCATGTGGTACCACAGAGTGCACCCAGTGCACTCAATCTTAAAAGAAACAGAAAAAACACATGTTAGAATATTGACAAACCTTTTTTTTAAGGTTAACATCACTCATCCAGAGTAAGCAGTAATAAAGTGGTTTACATTGAATTAAACAAGCAATGTATAGGTTGGGATCTTAGCTGTTATCCTTTCTGTTTAGAGTCCGTGCTCAGAAGTTTCTTCAACTGCTCCAGTGTCCTCCCATAGTGCAAAGACATGCAAGTTTGGTGAATTAAAGTAAACATTTTCAATACCTGTTATAGTGAGTGTTCACCCAGTGATGTAGAGGTAACCAATCCAGGGTGTATCCCAGTCTTCCAGCCAAATGTTGGTCAGGAAATTAATACAACTTCTTACCCATTGGTCACCCTTAGGCCCTGAGTTAAGTTCCCCACATATATATATATATATATATATATATATATATACACACACACACACACACACGCACGAGTAAATGTTACCTTGCAAATGAACACACCGCATGAAGTTGAATCCTGCTGGATAGGGTGAGTGATGGTTGTGCAGGCCCATCCCCCAACTGAAGGTCTTTTTTTCCGGACCAGCGATCTACACAGGAAACAGATAGATTGGGTTTTATATATAAGCCCAAGTAAGATACTTTTATAAGTCAAGAAGAGCTGAATGTTCACACATGACAATCTAATGGTATTCAAGTAAACAGTAGTAATCAGGAAAATGATTTATGTGGCTTTGTGTTGCTCCCCCTTAATATAATCCAAAATCATGAATATGTCTAGTAAACACATTAGAGCTTATATTTTATTCACCTTGTTAAATCTTTGCATCGGCTTAACTGCTTTTCCTTGGCCCCAAATGGGTCCAAGAACAGTGACCTGTTCTCGTTCAGATACATGATCTATGGAAGTGCAAAGAAAGTATTAAAGTGTTAAATAAATAAAAATGTCTTGACCATCAACATTTTAGATTACTTACAATGAGGGTCCAGTGTGCCCCGTCACAGACAGCTCCGGCTGCCACCTCATGTTTTGACAAGTCCAACTGAAAAATATTTGTACATACATCAGTACATATGTTCAAATAAACACTTATTTCTAGTCCTACTCACCTTTCTTAACCTCTTAAGGACTACGGTCCCCCCATTGGACCCCTCCCACCGTTTTTTTTTTTCGAGACAATGTCTCAGGGCTTCTTAACATTTATGAAACTATTAATGTGTAGCACCAGATTAACGGGAAGAATCTCAGCTAACTGAAGATATGAACCATTTTTACCAAAGAAAACGCAAGGGTAATACCAAGCCTCTGAATTAGCACTAAGCGAAAAAATGCTAACGCACTTTAGCACACAACTCAAGATAAAGATACCCTTATTACTTATCGTAGCTGCACATACAATATATCTGAGACTCGACAGATTATATGGTTATAGTCTCATCACTGAGCGATTCGAACTTGCGACAGGGGAAGCAAACACAGACATCACAACACGTACCTTTACGGAGCTTTTACGGCAGATCGTCTCACCGTAGCTGTCAATCTGATCAAAGGACGTGTTCAATGGCAGTAAAACGGAAAAAGAAAAGGCTACAACTGTTGATCCATAGGTTAATAATGTATCTGTGCCTTTGAAAAAATTATTTATAATCCATAATTCCATTTTTATGTAAAAATCGGAGCGAAATAGTTTGCTGCTAATGGTAGCCACCAGAGTGTATGCAGCTTCCGGTTTTGGTCACGCGTCACTCTCACTCCTTATTTGTTAACGTGTTGGTGTATATAGAACTTTCCCTCGATTCCATTAGCCGCGTTCACACCAAGTACTTTCCTGTACTTAGTTCCGGCACTAAGAGCCCCGGCACTTTTAACCCCAGGGCACTTAGTACAGATCGCGTTCACACCGGAGTACTTTTCCCTGAGGGAAGATTACGCAAATGAGCCGCTGACGTCACTTCTTCTTCTTCTGCTTTGGCTTTACTGGCAGGCCACAAACCACTTCACGGCGAGTACAGTAGGTGGCGGTATGCACCTTAAAGTTGTTTGCAATCCGCTACAAAACAAGACAAGAAGAAGAAGAAAAACTTCCCGCGTATGCTGTCTGTTGTTTACCTTCCGACCACAGACATGATGGAGATGGAGTCGACTGAAGTTGTGCTGTTTGTGCTCATGTTATACAGCTTTGTAACTTCGTTAATGCGGCCTGAGCCAGAGCCTGAGCCTATTAGGCGTCCGACACAAATCCGGAGCCGCCACACGTCGAATGCTATAATCGCAAAGTTTCTTCAGCATCAAAGGCAGTTTAAAAGCCTTAGGAAAAGGATTGGCCGACGGAAAGCACACATGACTGCCATGTTTCACCGTAGGATGGCTGATGACGATGAGCGTTTTCACGCCCTAAGAACAGCAAATTATTAATACTATCTAATGTAGGATTTGTGGAGTTATGTAGAGCTAATTTGCGTCGTGTCCCGCGCTCTCTCTGGGTGAACAATAGAACCTCAGCCTGGTGGGAGAAGGTGGTGCCGACGTACACCGATGTGCAGTGGATCCAAGATTTCCGAATGTCCAAGCACTCTTTCCAATACCTCTGTAGTCGCCTGGAAGCAACGTTGGGGAGAAGCGACACCAACTTCTGGGAGTGTGTCCCTGTGGCTAAAAAAATCGCCATAGCACTGTGGAAACTTGCGACCAACTCTGAGTACAGGACCATCTCTCATTTGCTTGGAGTCGGCAGATCTACAGTGTGTTACTGTGTGCACGAGTTCTGCTCCTCTGTTGTGAGCATACTCCTTTGTGAGTTCATGCCATGGCCGAACGCTGAGAAGTTAGAGGAGATGGCGTTATTTTTTGAGCGCAGATGGGGTGTGCCACAGTGTGTAGGTGCAGTAGATGGATCACACATCCCCATTCTGAGACCAGAGGAATACCACAACGAGTATTTCAACCGCAAAGGCTGGCACTCGCTCGTCCTGCAGGGTGTTGTGGATGGTAGAGGCCTCTTTTGGAATGTTTTTGTTGGCTTACCAGGTAGCATGCATGATAGCAGAGTGTTTGGCATGTCATCACTGTGTAGTTTTGTGGATAAGGGTGGTCTACTTCCTCATGTAACAAAGAATATTGGTGGACATGATGTGGGTTACTATATCCTTGGTGACTCAGCCTACACCCTGCAAAGATGGCTGATGAAACCTTTCCAAGGAAGGCTCACACCCGAGCAACTTGTGTACAATCACAAAACAAGCCGAGCACGAGTGGTGGTGAACGCTTTTGGCAGACTGAAGGGCAGGTGGCGGTGCTTGATGAAAAGAAACGACTGCAAGATGGACAAGATCAAAATCCAGGTGGCAGCATGTTGCGTATTACATAACCTTTGTGAAAGTAATGATGATGAGTACAGGGACGAATGGACTGCCTTACCGGCGACCCAGCTTGATGGGCCAGCGCCAGCCATTGCCGAGGCTGGGGGGCAAGACACACGCACAGCCCTTATGAGGCATCTGAACAGCGTGTAAATTGTACATTGTAAACAATAAATGTAAACATTGACAATAAAGCTGATCATTTGTACAGTGCTTTTGTTTCTCTCTTTCATTTTGCAGTCAAGACAGGCAACATTACAATAGTGTAATAGTAGCCAAAACTAACATACATGTTAGTAACTAAAGTGTCAGTTGTACATGTCAGTAAACATTGTCAATATAAAATAAAGTGTCAGTTGTACTATATAATAACAGTAATAACAATATAAAATAAGGATCTGTTTAATCGCCATGTCGGTTTTCTTTATTGCACTCTCAAGACATAACATGAAATAGAACAATTTTTATGTCGTAACTCTTCTATTATACGGCTCTGCTGTCAACAAATCTTGAAAACGGAGACGAGGGGAATGTAGAAATTGGTAAATAACTTCAGAAATGTATTGATAATTGTTCTGCTTTTTAATGTAAACTTGAATTCATAGTAAACTAGCTGCTTTTGAGCACTTTACTTTTTACATGGGCCATTTTTAACGTGACGTGACTGTATTCAAACTAAGTCACCATCTACCCCTAGTTTCATTTGGTGCATCAAAGTCTTTATTTTGCCCTATGATGATACTAACCTAGCATTCACAACCCTAGTTTTTTTATGGTTTCATTTTGGAAATAAAAACATAAAAAATGGAAACATACATGTTATTTTTGGCCCATAGTGGACTCCATGTTGTGTTGTGTGAAATGGGGGGGAATTAAAAGTTTAGGTCAAATATTTAAAATGATATAAATTATCATATTTGTGTATGTGCCGCTGCCATTCCTCCACAAGGTTGCAACATTGATGATAAATAAAGCTTTGCCAGTTTATAACCGATGAAACATGATGGTATCAGAATAATCACTTACATGTGATGTATAGGATGCTACACAGGTCACAAAAGATAAAGTGTCAGAAATAAGCAAGATACAGGATCTGTTTAATCGCCATGTCGGTTTTCTTTATTGCACTCTCAAGACATAACATGAAATAGAACAATTTTTAATGTAAATAAAGTGTCAGTTGGACATGTCAGTAAACATTATATATAAAATAAAGTGATAACAGTAATAACAATATAAAATAAAACGGTCCCCGGTGTGGGGATAGTCTCAGCAGCATACACACCTTAGTGCAAAGTTGTGTGTCGTGTGTCAGTATTTACAAAAACTATACCAAATAAACTAAACTTAACTAACTATGCCTAAAGGCATAGGCTCAGCAGCAGACATTAACAGTGGCCACTAAAGGGAGGAAGACCTGTTGGCTGTCACTAGCTGGGAAAGCACTTCCAGAAACCCAGTGTTAAATGCAGCTTGTCGCTCATCCTGCCGCTCCTGGCGCAGCTCCTGGCGTCACTCGCGCTGCGCCGACGCTTCCTCATGGCGCAGCGCCCACACTTCATCCTGGTGCCGCTGGCGCTCCATCTGCTGCTGGAACAGTTCTGCCTGGCGCTCCATCGAGGTGAGCATTTTGGCCTCCGTTTCCTGGGCCTGGGTGAACTGCACCACTTGATCTCCGCGCAGCGACTCATTCACCACGGCACGCCGGTCCTCCAACGCCTGGACGGTCTCGAAGAAAAGTGCATCCTGTGTCCGCTTTCCTAAGAGGGGAAAATAAGCAAGATACAAGATCAACAACCAGAGACAATACATCATGTATTTTTTAGCTGCCTGGATTATAACAGACAAAGACTCATTCTGATAACTGCACTGGAACAACTCAACATCAAGGACATGGATTTCAAGTCAATATATGAAAGTAAATCAAGAAATGAAGCAAACAAGCTGATCTTCAAATTCTTCAAAAGCACTGGTCTGAGGACAAGGATTTAATAAATCAACAGTAGGTGGCGATATATGCTCCAAGTGGAAGCGATTTCTTACCGGAAGTCATGTGACCTCTAGCCCGGATGTTTACAATGTTTGTGAGAGAGTAAAAAGGCGCGAAAATTTGTAAATGCTGGTCTAGGCGAATACGTTTTCACGCTGTTTCATAATTGTACCAAGAAGGAAATAAACATGATTGTGAACATCAGTTCCATGCGTAACGTTCTTTCAAGACAAAGTTACAGTGTGTGTACCTTTGCGTTTGGTTGCCGGTAAGGGAGACGAGCAAGCGCTCTGATCTTCAACGCCAAGCTCGCTTGTTTCCAATCCCGAGAGTTGCTGATTTTCCTCGCCTGAAACACACGATTAGTGCCATGAGTTAGTGAAGCAAATTACAGAAACACTGCACAGTTATTCACTAGTCAAAACGTTTTCATAGCGGCCGAGAATATCTAGCTAGCTAGATGTTATTAGCCAGCTCGGGGCCAGTGTTAGCTAGTTCAGCCTAGCATGGCTAGCTTGATCTACTGAGCAAATAAAAGTACATCTGAGACCATTGTTGTGCAGATTAAAACCCCAGTGCATGTAGTTGCTCTTACCTTCGTCGTGGTCGCCCTCTAAATCCGCCGTTGGAGCGGCCTCCGATGCCATACTGCCCGAATCAAGGCTCGATGCTGTACCTGTGAATGATGGTCTGTGGCCTAGCAAAACATCCAAGCGGTCGAACCATTTAGTGGTCCTCCGGTCGTTACCACTTTTATTGTTCCAGTCTTTAGTTTTTTTGTAGTCCTGGCGGAGTTTCTTTATTTTCAGCCGGCATGCCATGGCGCTGTGCACGATTCCCATCTCGAGCAACAAGTTAGAACAACGATCGAACATCTTCGAATTGGGTACTGGCTTCAGCAGCATTCCCTGCGTCGCGTCCTCGGCGTAGATGTCCAGAAGCGCTGATACCTCCTCATCACTCCATCGCTCCGATTTCCTGATGTTTGCCATAATTTAACTGCGTTAAAAAACAAACTACTCTCTCCGTCGGTGCGCTGGGGTTTTGTAGCGAGGAAAAACAATGGCGGCTCTACAAAACATTTTCACAGTTGTACGGGGCGTGGTTTGCAATTCGCCCAGCCAATCAGCACTGGGGCACTTTTCACCCACAGGAAAGTACGATCTCTCAGCGGGCTCTAAAAACGGGGGTAAAAGTTCCCGAGATTAAGTACGATTTTTGGTGTGAACGCGACATAAGGGGTACTAACGGAACTAAATGCGAAAAGTACGGTGAAAAGTACTCCGTGTGAACGCGGCTATTGGCTCTAGCGGTTATAAAGAGATTTCATTCATCAAAATCGACCAAGGGGGGCCAGAGATGGGTAAAATCCACCCAAATGAGTGGTTTCTTTTGGCTAAATCTCTCTAAAAAGGTCAAATTTCACTTGTTTTGCATCAATCTTGATACAGGGTACTTATTATATGTTGTACTTTGGATTCCTAAAGCTTTTAGTCTAGTAACCCATCATCCAAGGGTAGTTTTCACTATAAGTAAAAAAGAATTTTTGGACGGACACTATAATTTACAGTTTTTTACTATGTAAAATCTGAATTTTCTTTAAAATAAAAAAACATCTATATTGATTCTGACTTTTCTACATCCAACTCACAGGTTTATCATTACTTTGAGAATAAAGATTATTAATTTAACCCTTTTAGAAGGGAATATATGGTCATTTGTTCTGGGAATGTCATTTTCGAGCCTGAGACCTGAAAAACAGGCTCAGTGCTTAACAGGTTAACCCTCCCTTGTGGGTTCCTTGCCAGAGGGAAGTCATCAAATAGGAATCAAAAATGTATACCCCAGCTTTGGCCCCAATCCACGATAGATAGGCATTCACAATCTATAAATACAACAGTATCTTTTTAACCAATTTTCTAGAGAATTATCAGTTTGCATACATACATTTTTCTTAGAAAATAGGCTTACTTCTCCCTCCAACTCCTTTCCCGGGGCCAAGACCAAAAGATTTTCACTGTAGACCTTGTATGGGCCATACTTGGCCCACAGCGTCTCCTTCCTCCTCCCTGCCCATATGTCTCGGATTACTGTAAAAAAAAAACATGTTAGTTATTAATGAAATGCATACTTTGAGGTGTACTTTGTGTCAGTTTACTTACAAGTCTCTTCATCAGACGATGCTCCTCTTGCCTGGCAGTCCGTAGATGGAGCCATGCTCTTGGAGGATGTGGAGGTGGTTGTGGAGGTGGATGTCAGTGGACCAGCCAGAGGAGAAGGATCCAACACTTTTTTTTATTTAGTAGGGATCCTCTCCTCTGGTGTGACATAATGTGACAGATGGTCAATGTTTATTTGCATTGTCTTTTCACCCTTTTCTGCCCCAATGTCCGCTATTTTCCCCTCAATCGTTACAATCCGGTATGGTCCCAAGATGTCTGGCTCCAGCTTTCCGCCTTTTCTTTGTTCTAAACGTTTGTTTCTTTTTAAAACTAAATCCCCCACTATAAAATGGTCTACTTGCCCATGGTCTAGTTTTCTTTTGCGGACCTTATCTTGGCTTTTTTTAATGTTGGTGTTCACCTCGTTGAAAACTGCCTCCTGTCTTTTGAGTCCCTCGAAGAGTTCCTCTCTTTCCACCATGCTGCGGACTTTGTCTTCTGTTATCTACCACAGAAAACCATTAGAATGTAGAGAAAACATACATGTTTGAAATAAAAAACATTCTAACGGATGAGAACATTAGCAGATCTTACTTCGTACTTCTCGGGCACCTCTGACGGGTACCTCGCCTCCCTCCCAAACATCAGATAGTAAGGACTGAACTTTGTGGTCAACTGAGGCTTAGTCCGAAGAGCAAACATCGTCCCTTGAAGGAGTTGGTCCCACCGTTTCGGCTGACCTGCCACCAGTTTGTTCAGGGACCTAAATTCAGGTAAAGTACAAACACAAGAAGGTCGAACAGAAATTGGTTTCTAATATATGATGAAGCTGCTGATTTATTTACTCTTGTTGTTTTAGGTATCAATTCTGATTAGTTAATATAGGAACAGTAATGTTTGTTATTCTATGAACAAATATACCTTTGTATTGTGCCATTTAATTTTTCCACCAGCCCATTTGTTTGTGGATGGTACGGCGTGCACAGGCTTCTTTTGATGCCAAGCCTCTCACAAAGGTTATAGTTGACCTTGAAGTGAACATTGGGACAAACAGGAAATAAGTTTGTTAGCACAGCACAGTTACATAATGGGGAGTCATAATTCTTCAAAGTAGTACCTTATTGCAAAATTCCCCGCCTTGATCTGTTAGCAGTCTTTTAGGTGCACCAAATTTGTAAAATAAATCAATAATACACTTGGTCACCTCATCTGCTGTTTTATTTTTAAGTGGGTATGCCTCTGCCCATTTGGTGTAATAATCAACCATGACACAAATGTATTGATTGCCACCATCGGTTACTGTGAGTTTACCCACTAGGTCCATCCCGACAAGCTCCAGAGGCTCTGTTACCTGAGATGAAAAAAATACACATGAGCATTGCAGTACATTACTGTTGACATGTTTGAAAGCTGAAACTGTCTTCAAATGTTTCCTTGTACCTCTATAGGAGTGTACTCGACCTTCTCTTTGATAAAGGCCCTCTTTGACTGGCACTGGGGACACTGAAGAACCTGAACCAAAAAACACACTATAAACTTTTCTGTGTTGCACTTTTGTACCATAATGTGTAATTTGCCTCATTATATTGAACTCACCCACTTGCGGAATTCCTCCTCCATGCCAGGCCAATAATATCGTTGAATTATGGCCTGATGTGTCTTTTCCCTTCCAAAATGTCCACCAATGTGGCTATCATGGAATTCCTCAAAGAGATCGTTGGTTTCTTTGGCTGACACCACGACTTTGGCGAGGTGCTCTGCAAAAATATTTTTCCTCCTGCATATGTAGTGGAGTTCCCCATCTGGTATTGAAATATCGTAATTATACATGTATTGAGAGTGTTATCATAGCAGATGATGTTCTGAAGACCACATGTCTGACATTGTTACCTATAATCCTGAAGGTCTCTGCTCTTCTCTTGATAATAAACCGCTGTGTTCTATTCAAGCCATCAGGATAAATGTTGTGGATCATAAAATCCATCAGTTGTTTAACAACTTCTGAATCCATCCCCTCTTGGCTAGCCCTACAGCTATTCTCTCCCTCCAACACACACACACACACACACACTCACAAGGACAAACACTCCATCACATTCAATACTCACTTACGCACAGCCGATCTTTCTCTATATCTATCTCTATCTCTACAGTATCTCTATCTCTATGTCTCTGTCTCGCTATCTATCTCTCTCTCGCTATCTCTCTCTCTCTATACTCACAAACCAAGAAAGTTGTGACACTTCCGCCGGTTTATATAGCCTAGACAATCTTGGATAGAAATAAATATATATAGCATGTTTATGAAACGGACAAGTAAAATCAAGCAATCTGATTGGTTCTTAGCCGTGATATACTGAGCGTATACCACGGGTAGAATTGTAAGTTACTTTTCACAACAAGTCAGTATCCCTCCGCGTCTGAGAAAAACTGTATACAGTTGGGCTGAAAAGCAAACTGCTTGTAGTTTGCTTTTCAAACTGGAACAAGAAAGCAGCAGAGAAGTAACGGGGCAGAAACCCTCCTTTTTCACACAGCGGTCCAGACATAGACATCAAACGGCAAAAACATATTCAGTGTGCAGTTCCTTTGGCATTAGGGCAGGGATATTTAGATACTTTCCAAGGTTTGACATAATGAATTGTGCTACTTTTAAAGCAAGCAACGATGTTTTCAAATCTGTAATCAAAAAGGTCCGCAAAAACATTTAAGATTAACTTCGACCTCCGGGGGGGTCTTACTATGGAGGAGTGGATTGAGGAGTGTGAGTGCCTATCTCCAGAACAAAAAGCACCTAAACGACATGTAGAGCTACGTGAAGAGCAGGTAGTAGACCAACTGGAAAAGTATCACCATTCAAAAGATTTCTGATGCGGGTCTTGAAACAAAGCAGAGAAATTATGACCGTTAGTGGCCACAGGTGCGAAAGCTCTCTCCAGAGCTACTGGAAGCCGAATCTCGGGGACCGGAGAAAGTGGAGCAATATTCACGCCACGCCAAGCAACAGCCTAGAACAACCTCAGCCTATACAAGTAACCACGTAAGCCATTCTACTGATGCTGGACAGTTTTTCAGTGGGTGCACAATAAACGGCAACATACACATTAATGTAAATAAATAGCCAAATAATGGATCAACGCTCTCTGTCTAATATGTTCGCTAGCTGTTGTTAGTGTTGTTGCATAGCAACCACCTCGCACTATGTTTCGTGCAGAAGGCAACGGAGGGACTATTTTATTTTGAACATCATTATTTACTAATAACAACTATTTAAATTAGAGTGTGTATTTTTCTTTCATATTGCCACACTTGGTAACCGTTTTATAAGGGGGTTGCCGCTTCGCGTCGGGCCGAACCACGCCCCTTAACTGTGATATAATGGCCATATACCACGGCCTGTCGTGAGCTATTGCTTAAATATATATATATATACAGGGGTGCACATAACTGGTACGCAGGTACGCATGCGCGGCAACAATCTGAAAGGCGGTTAGATCACCGAACGACGGAGTCGTGTGCACAGACAGGGCTGCTGTTAACGTCGGTCTGTACAGCAGCGCTGCGCTAAAACAGCTGATCACAACGTTCACAAGCTCTGTGGTCACAAAGCTCTGTACTCCACTACCACCCACCCCCCCCCGTTGACATTCGCGATACAGAGGGCTTCATAGGAACTTTGAGGGGAGCCAGAAGTTGGAGTACCAAACACTGACTCCAGGTACTCATCTGAGTACCTCACTGAGAAAGTTGTGTGCACCCCTGTATCTATATATATGTATATACATATATATATAAAATAACAATTTCATTATATGGATTCAACCCGTTTA